TATGTGTGTGTATATAATAGACATATATATATATATATATATATATATATGTAACAATAATAATCAAGGAAGAAGAAATTGAGATGGGGTGTGGGGAACATAGGAGGACCTGGAGAGTGGAATGGTGGGGTGGAAATTGTATAAATACAGTACTATTGTATGAAATGCTGAAAAATATTTTAAACATTATTTTCTTGAGCTTTGGAGCAATGGACCAGGAACTGACATGGAAGTCTTCTCCATGAAGACTAGCTCTCATAGTTCTAGAGGATACTATGTAAGCTGCTAAGGAGAAAATCAATCAATGGTTCAACTTAGATATAAAGCCTAATAACCACATCAAATCGTACAGCAAATTTTCTCTATTGGTGCAGTAATGGCACTTTTATTTATGGGATTGTCAACAGCTATATAATTGGACTTAAAGTCCTCTCAGTGGGAGGGAACTCATAGATCTATTAAGGTGACACCGTAAATATAGCCAAATATACATGGCTGGAGAGGTCATAGATCCTAGAGAAAACCCTATCTTTGTCATAGCTCTAGACAAGTGAAATTGCTTACTTTATCTTCAACCAATCAGGAAATGGCACTTGAAAGCATACTGATGTCTTTTGTTTCTATAAATTTTTAATTGGTTTTTTGTATATTTCGTATGGCACATCTTAATCATCTTTGTATCCCCTTCCCCACTGGCATCCTCCTAGAGTCCTCCCCCCACACTGGAATTCATGCATTCTGTCATTGTGTTAAGGACTATTGTGTCAAGTTAGTGTCCCCAGATGCAAGTGCATCTACTGAGGTCTAGTCAGCCTATGATAAAGAGTAACTCCAAAGAATTATGCAATTTTCCACTTCTTGTCTCTGTTCATTAATGGATGTTATCCACAAAATTTATACAAATAAACATTAGGAATATGCTTTGCGTATGAGAATGTATCATCCCAAGCCCTGATCAATTATTGTCATCATAGATCCCTTTGTCTTATTTTTTAGTTGGCAGGATAAAGTCTAATATTCACTCATTAAAGACTTGTTGAAAAAGAAAATAATTCAATCAAACTATCTTGCAAACAAACAAGCAAACAACAATAACAACAACAACAACAACAACAACAAAATAACCCTGCATTCCAGTATCAACCAGGGATTTGGGGCAGTAATATTAGTTCTTTCTGAAAAGCCTAGGTCAGGGCTGTACTTACCTTTGGACCATCAGGACCATGTCCACCAGCCATCCCCTTCTCACCAGGAAGCCCAGTTATTCCAGGCTCTCCTCTTTCTCCAGGATTTCCTCTTTCTCCCTAGTATGTCATGAGGATGTCAAATAAATTCAATATATAACACAAAATTGAGTTAAAATGTTTCTGTACAGTAGATTCTACTGGAGAAATATTTAGAATAGAGTCAGTACAATGGCTGAATTTTTAAATTTAGTTCTAAGAAATGAACTAGAATTAAGGATATGATACTTTCATGAGACAATATATTCCCATAAGGTTGTTTTTTATCCAGTAGAATTAAATATTTAAAATAAATCACCTTTTAAATAAAAAAAAATCTCATTCTAAACTGTAGCCAGTGGGAAGTAAATCACAAAATACTTACCCTAGGCCCTAATGGGCCAACTGCTCCAGGCTCTCCAGGAACACCCTATAAATACATTTTGGAAAAACATAGGAAAATCTTTGAGCTAGCTCTTACACTATTAGAACTATTTCTAGATCCAAAATCAAATTTCCTGTAGTGTACCATTAGAAGGCTGACTAAGCTCAAAATAAATATTAAAGAATGAAAAATGTATGCTATCATTAGTGAGGGAATATGATATCTATTAGATAGAAATTGTTTTTCCAGATTTATATTACATTTGAAGGTTTAATTTTTCTTGCAAGGAGAATGTAGACAAATATCTTTCATAAAGATAATGAATTAGGTTTCACAAAGACAACAAAACATACTCTAAATGTTTTTTATTTCCTAACAAAATATTAAAAAGTTTAAATAGGAGAGATGTAATATAAAAAAGCAATTAAGATATGGTAAATTCAACTAATCTAATTACATATAATTTAGTAAATATTGTTTGTATCTACATATACATATGTAGATATATACACATATATAGGTATTGAATGTATATATCTCACTCCACTAGGAATTGTGGGATCAATATAGCAGTCATATCTACAGTAAGCACTTGGTTGTTCTCTAAAGGAAAGAGTGCTATTTCAAGGCTCTCCACTTAACAAAGATGGGAACTTCATCACATCAGCCTCTAGACTTATTTTTTTTACAGTGAATTGTCCTTGCTATGTTGTGATCTCCCTGAACCTGAAATCTGATGGTATCACTCCCTACTGAAAAGCTTTTCATCAACTTCCTAGACTCCAATCATGAACAAATTAGGCCCAGTTTAAGACTCCCTTTAACCTAGACTCTGTTTCCCTCCTCCAGCCTCATCTGGACCCTTCTTACACTGTACTGCATAACTGAATTTTTTCAGTACCTTAAATTGATCAGCAAGCATTTGCGCCTGTCATTCCCATTTCCTGGAGTACTTTTTTTAACCTTCCCTTCTCCAATTTTGCCATCATTCATCTTTCAGATCATATACAAGATACTTCTTTAGCAAAGCACTCCCTAAAACATCTCAATTAAGGGAAACTTTCAAGCTTCTGTTAATCTACTGACTCTCCTCCTGGAGCATTTCAATCATAATTGTATTATAATTGCTTTCCTGTGTCACTATCTCCTACTATCCTGTAATATAACAGCACAGTTCATGTCCAATCTGTTTAGCTGATAAAGTCCAATGCATAATAGAACCAAGCATAAAGCATAAATAATGTTCAGCAAATGTATGTTGAATGGTAATAAACAAATGAATCACTTAAAGAAAAATAAGTAAATCTATGTGCCAGTAAAATGATCATATCTATTCCTAAGGCTAAAATCATCCAGTAAAATTCTGTAGTTTAAGATATATAGAAAGCATGTCGGGTGTTTTGGTGCATGCTTTCAGTTTCAGCACTCAGGAGGCAGAGACAGGTGAATCTCTATGAGACAGAGGCCATTCTGGTCTACATAGCGAGTACCAGGCCAACTGGGGCTACAGGGAGACCCTGTCTCAAAAAGACCAGAAAAAAAAGTTATATAGGAAGCAGATGAGTTGAGTTCAGTTAATATGAGTTGTGTGACTTTGGGAAAGTTATACAACATCTGAGTATCTCAGTTTCTTCATCTGTACAATGGACATAATAATGCTACACTGTACCTAGGGCTATTTTGAATATTTAAAGAGATGACTGCATAAATTAAATCTGAAGTTTCACCCATAAAGGTAATATTATCATTCATCAATGTATAGCTTTAATATTATTTGAAAACTTACCTGATCACCTGGCTTTCCACCTTCCCCAGGAGGCCCTGGAGGTCCAGGAAGACCCTACAATAAAAAATAAGAGAATAAACTTGAGATTCAGTAATGGCTTAATCAGATACTGATGTCAATAATCCACATTTTACAATTCATGCAGTCTTCATGGCAAAAGACACTTTGCAGACACTTTAAGTAGAACATATAAAAATATCATTCAAACACATTAGGAAAGCTAGTCATTAGAAAACACAGGAGCTGCTCATTTTATGGGGCTCGATTCTTATTTATTTATGCATTGCTTGGCAAAAATGAGATAATAATGTAGCATAAATTCCTTTGAGTTCACCAAGTTTTATGGCTCCAGGACAATATTTGAGCCTCCTAGCATCATTGGAAGTAAGGTCTGCAGTTTTTCACCAGTATGATTTTTATGCTTTCAAATGATGCACAGTATATGAAAATAAATCATGATAATTTGTTCAATAAATTTTAGTGACTGTGCCAATAAAACCACATAAGCTTTAAAATAGTTTAACGAGCCTTGTTGTGATATTGGGAACATTTTATTATTGTTAATTTGTTAATAGTTTTGTGTTTATTCAGTTTTTCAGAAAAAAATCATTCCTTATCTTTGAACAAAAATGTCTGGTTTCAAACAACTATCTATATATATATGTATATATACACACACACATGCAGGCATATATATACATATATATGTATATATATGTATATATATATATATATACTTTTTGAGACATTATCTCAATTTGTATAGTCTTGTGCTGTATGTAGAGTGGCCTGGAACTTAATAGGTAGCACACACTGGCCTTGAACTCACACCTAACCATCTACTTACCTCAGTCTCCCAAGTGCCAGATTACAGATGTGAGTCACCACATCTAGCTTTTTATATTATTAAAAAATATTTTTTTACAAAGCAATTCTTGGAAGAAGAAATGAGAACCCAAACCAGTGTGTACCTGAAAGCCAGTGGGGCCTGGAGGTCCCTGCTCGCCTCTTTCCCCAGCTAGACCCTAAGTCAAGAAGGAAAACAGAAGCATGAATTCAGGCAGACACTGCATTCTGTTGCATGAATCAGTAGAAAGACTGATCTCTGCATATCTTCCAACATCATGTTTTGCACATTAGACAGATAATAAACTACTATAAAAAGTCATCAAATGCCACTATTTGGTGAACCTCCTAGTGAGAAAATGTCTTTTAAAAGCAGAGAAGAAATTTAAAGTATGTTTATTTTTTGTCAATACATAAATCTCCTGGAGGCAACTATAAATGGAATATGGGGAAACCTGTTATTTCATAAATCCAACCTAAGAATTATATTTTCTCTTACAGTTTATTTCTAAGTGTCATAAGAATTACTAACCATGACTTCAAAGTCATGGTTAAAATGTTCAAAATGACTAAAGAAAACAAAGTTGATATTTTAGAAGCTATTTAAGATGATCTACCCCCCAAATAAATGTTAAAATATTTCTGATAAACAGTTTTAAAATTCTAAGAATGAAAATATAACATCAAAATA